CCTTTTTATTTAAACTAGATCAACATGCATGGAGCACTTGAGCTCTGATGCAAAATAATTTGCATAAGAACTGTTTTGCTCGTTTGTTCAACATGGAGTCAGATTAATTTGAATAAACGTTCAAAGGTCCAAAAGCAAAGGTCTATTGTATTTAATGATTTAAAGTGGCAAAGATGCCCCCAGCTTTGTTCATGAGCCAAATGTTGCCACATGTCTTGGGTTATGGCCCTCATAAATAATCCAGTAAACTTTGACCAAGTTTAGCTGACCTGAAATAACCAAACCGAGATGTACAGATTAAATATTCCTGATGCAGTTGAGTTGTTCTCCTGACTGCAGAATGCATCACCTGCAGCTCAGACACAGTCAGAAATGCCTGAAACCTCACCCTGCACATTCTGCCTCGGCCAATCAGCTTTGTTTTCTTTTGTTTGCTTCTGTTTGGATCCTGCATGGTGTAATTTAGCCACTGATTGGTGGAGGGGAAGTTTGAGTCAAACAGACTCCAGACTGAGCCGTTTGTCTTTGTTTGATCTGGAGAGCACTGGGAATCTGGACGGTCCTGTGTTGTGGTGAGCGGTCGGGCAGCGGATTTCAGACTCGAGCAGTAACCGTGTGCATGTGTGTTGCTCCAAGATTTGCATCTCAGATGAAACATGACCTCAGATGCACCCTGGAATCAGGTATCATGGGAGACAAACTGCCCCCTAGCGGTGGAAATGCATGTGTAGGTCACAGTTATTCAGCTCAGCAGTGCCAGAGCATCATGTGTCTTAATATATTGCAAACGAATTCAGATCATCCAAATGTTTGAATCAACAAATTTTGAATCAGGATTTGTTTCTTTGATTCTTTTAATGTTTTAAATTCAAGCTTTTGTTTTTATGTCTGTCCATTTAAAAGCAAAATGATTCTCATAATGTATAGAATGTATTTTATTAAAATTCTACTATATTCCCTCTCTAACCTGTATTGTGTGATTGACAGTACTGAAAAAAAAATTATGTAACAAAGATTTCAAACAAAAGGACTGCTGAATTATTTATATGCTAGCATTTCCTTGATCCTTACATTACGTTTCATTTTTCTCTTGGACATCAAACAAAGATTTGTTTTAAGATGTTTCATTCAGCTATTTTCAGCCCCTCAGGCATCTGGCAGAGTTTTTGCCACAACTATTTCAAGTTCAGCACAGAAACCTGCACAGAAACATTCCCTACACTTAACAAATTAAAAACAGCAGGAACCACAAAGGACAAAGAAAGACGTGGGGTGTGTGTGTGTGAGAGAGAAAGTGATTGAGGTGACCACAGAGAAACGCAGATAACAGAATGGTATATTACCAGCGTTTGATCGTGGGTCACATGTCTGCGTTCTCCAGCGAGAGCGTGTTTGTGTGTAAGCCTGAAAGTGATACGACACACACATCCTTCATTTCAAACAATGACAGGAGAGATCAATCTGACACGGAAAACAGAAACAGCTGCCATGAAAGAGAGACAGCAATAAACCTATAGAATATTACAAACTATACAGACAGACAGACAGACAGACAGAAGACAGACAGACAGACAGACAGACAGAAGACAGACAGACAGACAGACAGACAGATAGATAGATAGATAGACAGACAGACAGATAAACAGATAGATAGATAGATAGATAGATAGAAAGCTAAATAGCTAAACTGATAGATAGATAGATAGATAGATAGATGATAGATAGATAGATAGATAGATAAACTGATAGATAGATAGATAGATAGATAGATAGATACCTTCATATATAGAGATTATATGTGATATGTGTACATTTTTTAAGTCTACTTTTGTGTAAAAATTTATTTAATCATAGCAGCCAATCAAACAATGAAAACAAATTAATGATTAATAATGGTTGATATTACATTCAATGCAATTATTATCATTGCACAGTGGATGGGATTGCATTGAGGGATACAGAACCTACTACAGTATGCTTAAATTGTATACTGCACATTATGTCACATTTAGTAAATCTAGATACATTTGCTAGATAAATTTAATCCCAACTAATCTGCATAATGTGCACAATATTTAAACTGTACACTGCAGATATAGTAGACAGTATGATAATATGCTGTTCCAAATGCAGCCTCAATTATGTAAAGATGCTTTTCTGCCATCTAGTGTTGCATCTGGGTATTGTTATTTTGCACTAATTTTCACTGGTTCACTGTTAGCCAATCATGCAGAGGTCGCTAATGAGCTGCTGTTGATTAATGAGAACGCTTGGTGAGTGTGAGCCACATCTGCAGCGAGGAAACGAATACATGGCTTCAGTTCAGGATAAAGTTGCTGCATTAAATATTGTGGGGAAATTCTACAGTCCCCTCAACACACCTCTTGGTAACATCTGTTTTATGGTTTAAGGTAATGTGTTTTCATTTGAAGCACTTAAGAGCACAGTAAAATACTTTTTTGTGTGTTTGTTCAGATCACAGATTGATCAACAGAACTCAAGATGTACAAACCAACAAGGTTGAAAAGAAAGAAATCTGGAGCCACGTCATCGCTGCTCTACAAGCCCAAGTGAAGGTCAAGAAACGCAGGCAGCATCTGAGATCTCACGATAACTGCTTTCTGGGCTCCAATGCAGTGGATGTTATCCAGGATTATCTGACCCAGAATAAGGTTCTTGGAGATGCCCAGGTCTCCAGAGCCATGGTGTCGAGGCTGTGCCAGGTGCTGTTGGACTGTAAGGTGTTTGAGGTGGTGGGAACCAAAGTTTTGGGGAAGACCAGTAAACCAGCAGGCTTCCAGGACAGCAGCAGCAGTCTCTACAGATTCCTAAACATGGAGGATCCATGCCTGGATGTGTTGGAAATGGCGCTTTTCCCTCCCAGTGAAGAGAGTTTGATGAACGTCACACCATGCAGGTGTTTCAGATCACTGTAGATGTTTTATGGTGTAGCATTCAATGATTTTATTCTAAATTTGAATTCTAATGATTGGAGTTATTGACCTTTTTAGGCAGGACATCCTGTTATTCTCTCATAGTACACCTGTGAAACCAGACCACGTGCTGGATCGTCTCATGGAGAAGCTGGACTTGACCGGACTTGTCGGTTCTCCTCCCACTGAATGTCTTCCTCCATCTGGTAAGAGCTTTGTTCAGATTCTGCTTCTGTTTGAGGTACAAAGGCTGTGTTTGTAATGGACTGTAATGTACCAACTATTTTTCATGTTGCATATTTAATTCAGTGAATGATGTAAATAAATAAACTTTATATTGTAACTTATTTCTTATTTATCTATCTGTCTCATAATTATTCATAGTGCAACCTTATTTTTTTCTTAAAGGGGTCATATGATGTTGCTAAAAAGAACATTATTTGGTGTAATGAAATGTGTTTATGCGGTTT